GGCCTGAAATCAAAGAAAGCTTTTGAAGTGGGCATCTCCTCAGACTCCTTTCTAAACCAGCTTTTCCTATAGGTCACTAATGAGAATGAACTAAACCAAACCTCTTTTAGACTTGCATTCGGATCCATCCTATGAACTTCAGCTAAGCACTCAGAAAAATCGGAACTGTGCAATGACAAGTTCTGTTAAAGGAAAACTGCTTTGTCTATCTGTTGCATTTCAACTTTCTGTTTGAAAGCAAATCAAAAACAAATACTAAGGAACCCCTACGAGCGTCAGTTATTAAGACCAAATACTTCTAGGCCCCAGTTCAGGAAGGCATTTAAATGCACTTGTCTAAGCAGGTGACATTAATTCCAATTGGTCACTAGCTCAGGCATCAAGTTATTCTTTGTCCTAGGTCCAAACATTGGAGATCATTGAAGCCTGTAAGCACTTCTATTAATTACCATCGGATTTCTGTACTTAAGTCTTTTCCTAGATCAAGGCTCTAGCAAGGTCACAAGTGAAGTTTTTTTGGTTTGTTTGTTTTTTTAATCAATCCACACATGAACATGCCTGTGTCACAAACTGGTCAGTTCCCACTCTCTAAATAGAAACTCTGGTGTTATGATGAGACCCAACTACTCAATCCCATAGGTTGCTAAATAACCTGGGTCTGGGGTACAGGTCACTGTTTTCACATCTGGGTTACCTGCACTGATTTCCTGATTTACACTCCATGTCTGATATCATTATTTTGGGCAGCAGGACACAGCAGTAGGATCTTGGAACCATTTTCCAAGCCATCCAAAGCTCAGAAATTGGGCTTAGCAAAATAATTTCTTACACACCTTTTGTACCTTACTTTGAAAGAAGATAAGAGTTGCAGTTCTATGGACAATAAGCTCCTGAAACCGTCCTCATCACACTGGACACCCATACCACAGCCCCCATATTTATCAGTCTCTAGCTTTGACCCAAGCCTTTCAAGGGAGGCAAAGCCCCTCATACTGCCATGTGTGGCCTTCTATTCCTAGTGATCAAATGGCCCTTTTGGCTTGAAGAGCAGCTGCCTTTGAAACAGTCTCTGCCATCAGTGAGCAAAGCAGAGAGCTGTAGCTGTCTTGTCCATATGCTTAACCCAAGGGATTCCAGCCCTCTTCTTATCCCCAGACAGATTTCTTGGAAAGAGAGTAGATTCAAGATTATTGAATTTACTGACCACTAACCCAGAATCCCAGCTAGCAAGGGTCCTCCACACTGATGGCCCACTGCAGGCTCTCTAGGAGATGGTCCACCACCTTTATAAGAGCATTCAGCATTCATAGTAGGTGAGCTTTCAATGCTACATGAATGTCTTAACAAAAGATCCAATTAGAAGCAAAATGGCATTCAAAACAGGACTGCCCCTGCCTTATTGTTTCCACTTACCTCCCCTGGTCTTACAACTGGTTGTCCCGTGCTACCTAGAGAGAAATGACTGACTTTTCTTTGTGCCTCAGATCTCAAACTTCCATCTTCAAGACACTTCTCAGCTAATGATGCACTTAGGTCTCTTAGGCCATCCCCAGTTTGACCAATGAATGCTTCTTGCAGTTCCTCAAGTGGCTTGTTTTTATGGAAATAACTCATAAATGATCAGGCACCAAGCCTGGAGCAATGGGTGCATGTTTGTTTCTAATATGAGGGATTATTTTCACAGGTAGCTCCTTTGTCTCTGTTGGGGTCTCATTTGCACTTGAACCTGGGATTGCCTTTTCAGAGCTCCCTGTCTTAGGCTTTGCACTAGCAGACCCTTGGGAAAGAACTTTGTCAGCAATTCTGTCTGGGTTCATCACACCCTGGCTCAGTGCTGGTGGACTGTCACTAACAGCCTGTAAAAAGGGACAACTGGAGAGTTCCTCAGTTATTATAGCAGCCACTTCTTGAGGAAAAAGTGCACTGAAACCTGTTACATCATCATAAAGGTCTTGCTCAGATCCAGATTTTGTTGGTAGATGTTGTTCTTCATCTGTAGCTGCCACAAGGCTGATTTTATGTTTGGAGAGGCCTTGTTCCATGGCCTGTTTAAGGTTTTTCAGCAATGTCATTCACTTCAGCTCTTGATGAACATCTTCTGTACTTTGGGCTTCTGTCATCAGTTGAACTTAAAGACTTTTGACAGGAATCTACTTAATATTTCTTCCACAAATGTCATGGACACCACAGGAATATGTGGGTTTAAAGCTGGTTTTGTAATCTTCTTTATCATGCCAAGATCAATAGGGAGTTTTTCAAGAATCCTAACACCTTCTGTTGTTGAAGATGAAGTAGGCAATGTCTCCTTCTCTGAACTGGCTTGAAATTCAGGTTTGGCAACTTCTTTTGCTATTGAAGTTGCTATCCTATGAGCTAAAATATCTTTCCTATTTGTTAGGTCTCTGCGAACAAAAATGTCAGAATCAAAATGATCTACCATGCTTGTGCAAACTGAAGGGAACAGGTCTCCCATAGTTTGGCTGTCTTCAGTGTGTAAAAATTCTCTTTCACCAATATGTTCATTCATGTTCATCCGATGTTTTGACAGGAGAACTTGCAAAGCATATAGTATTTTTCTAGTTGCATCATTCAGTAACAAAGTCCTTTCTGCAGCCAAATCCACAATGGGAAAGAGGGAAGTAAATGTTGACAAAAGATTTGCTGCTGGTTTTTCTATGATAAGAGGAACTATTTTACTAAGATCTGATGATAAGCTGTTTGGGTTATCCAAAGGCTCAGTAACATCTCTTAGTGTATTTTGAACAATATTGTCAGCTTCAGCACAACAGTGGAGTGGTAATTCTCCAGAAAGAGAGTTCTGCAATGGATTCCCAGAAATCTCTTGGAAGACCAAGTCACAAAGAGCTTCAGAAATAATCATGCACCCACTTCTTAAACAGTTCTGCATGTTGAATTTGGATTGAAACTGTGTCAAAAGCTTGTTATAGACTGAATCAGCAAGTGTTTGAATCATATCATCCTCCCTGGAATGCGGATGTTCAATATGCTGGCTAGAAGAGTTCTCATCTTCAGAGATTTTTGCCCCAACTTTACTGATTACCTTCATGTGAGCCAAGTCAAATTCTGCATTTTCTTTTCTGTGGAGGAAGATGTGCTGGCGGTGGGAGGGAGAATGTTAGATAAAAGTCTGCTGATTATATCTTCCAAAAATCTGTGGCATACCCCCAAGAGTAGATGGTGTGGGACTTTGGCATTGGGCGTTGCTTTTGGTAGCATCTTCTAAAAGCTTCTCATCAATTTCCCCAGGGTCTAGAGGCTTATACAGAGCTGAAGAGGGGGCTTTTGCTAAGGGCTCTTCCTGTTGGTAATCAGTCATTTCTCTCCTTATCAAAACACCTAAATGCTCTGCTGACATACTCTTGTTGCTTTTCATGTCTGCATGAACTGAGACTTTGGAAGCACTTTTTTGCAGGTCAGATAAACTGGAGTGAATAATTTTGGCCATCAATGCATCTGTGTCAGGGGAGAGACCCTGATCTTCAGAAGGCCGTAGGTCTGTGGCTTGACATGGAAAGCTTATTTAATACTGAATAAACTACATCCATGCTGATCGTGAAGGATCACTTCCAGGGATCGTGCTGTTGTGAGCATGTAGGTTTTGTGAAGGCGCCAATTTGCTCATTAGTTCATCACATATTTCTTTCAAAAAAGCATCAGCATAAATACTGGTCAGTGACTGCAAGGGCTGAGGCTTAGTTGCATATGTTGGCAGGGGCTTGCTGTGAGCATCCTGCACTGCCTCATGTGGTACATCCTCTTTGGGAAATATCTTTCTGCACGATGAAAAGAAGGGCTTTCTTGCAAGCTGCCTGCCAATCTAGGGTAAAATTACTCTGGAGCGAACTGCCCTTGGCTTGATTAGTGTGTGCAGGGGGGATGTAGAAGGCTTGAGCCCCAGAGCCCCTGTGCAGTAACTCAGTTTCTTGATGCCCCCTGATGTGGGTTGCACAAGCTCAAGGATTTGAAGCTGCCTTGGCATTTGCCTTTCCCTTTGTACTCGTTCCTCAGAACCGAGCGCTCTTCCCTGGACATTGATCCGTGAAAGGAATTTTCAAACCATGCCTGTTTTAGGGCAATCTTGTTTGAAGTCAGGAGAAATATCTTCCCTAATGAGACTCTTTTGTAATTTGCCATCTTCTTGTGTTGATTCATATTTAAAGTTTGGCTATGGGGAAACTTCTCGGTTTTGATAGTCTGCGTGGGATGCTCAAGCAGAGCTCCCATGCACGTGCTCTCCCTGCACAAAGTAGAAATATCATCAGCTGGATGAGGAGGTACCACTGCTGGTTCAGCCTCTGGAAGATATTCGTCCCAAAACTTGCTGCCTAGAAGCAGTGGCCTGCTTCGTGTTGGAGACGGGCCAGGTGACTTGAGAAACCAGTGGGGTTAGTTTCCCTCGACTCCCTCTCTTCACACATCCTGGTGGGTTGGTGGCTGTCTTCTTTCTGTCCGTGAAGACAAACTTTGTGGCATGGGCCTCCTCATCTCTCTCAGGTATTTTTCTCTCTTCATATTGTATTATTGCTGGATATACGATGTCTGCTACCTCAGCCACCAACCACATCATTACATTTGTAATTGCACCAGTCATTTCTTTGGTCTTGTTTTTCTGTAGCAGGAACAAATGAAAAAGGACAATAAATGTGTTAATCAATTCCTTCATTCTCCCTTCTGTACATGGCAACAGCTGTCTACCAGATGTGAGTCAAACGTTTAGGATAAACAATAAAAGCCCCCTATGAAAAGTAATATATCTCACCAGAACCTTTTTGATAGGGTGGGATATAAATCTAACAGAATAAATATAGGAATTAAACAGCCAGTTCAGGAAAGTTCAGTAAAGGACAAAGTAGGATAAGCATTGCTTCTCCTTGAGCTTGTTTCTGAAGGGCCGACATGCAGTCTGAAGCCCATGGAAGAAAATTCTGACCATCTTGAAGCCCAGGGGAGGTTTGTCACTGATTTCAGCAGGGCTGGGATTTCCCCACATGAGCCTAGAGATGACCTCATTTTGCCAGTTTACCCTATTACAAGTGTCAGGGGGGCTAGGAGTTGGATACACCTCTGGGAGGGCCGTCCCAGCGGGGGGGATCGGGGCAACCACCCTGGGCCCTGCGCTTTGTGGGGTGCCCCTGGTCAGTGCTCCACCTGCCTGCCACACCCCCTGCTCTGCCGGCTCCGGTCATTTGCCACCCCCCACTCTGCACCATCCCCCCGCTCTGCTGGCTCCGGCCACTCAGCATCCCCCTCCCAGTCCACCAGCTCCAGCCACTCGCCACCCCCCTGCCTGCTCCGCCAGCTCCTGCCACTAGCCAGCCCCTGCTCTCAGCTGGCTCCGGCTGCTCACCACCCCACCCCACCCCACACCGTTCTGCTGGCTCCAGACACTCGCCACTCGCTGCTCCCTGCTCTGCTAGCTCCAGCCACTTGCCGCCCGCCTCTGCCCCGGGTCCTGCACACCGCTAGGGACAGCTCTGAGCTCTGGACACGCTCTGTGGAATGGACTCTGCCACGTGCTGAGTGGGGAATGACAGCAAATCTCACTTCCATGTTCCATATTTGAACAGGTGCCCAGGCCTAACATTGGGACTGTCTCTACTCCCCCCACCCCTGAGAAAGCACTTATCAACTAGCTCACCTCTCCTTACAGAAAAGAATCAATTAATTTGCAGACATTTTCTCCATCTCGTACCAAAACGCAAAAGCTGTGTTCTCCCTGGGCAGTGCTGCTCCGTGCTCTTTCTCAGGATGAGGCAACTAAACATTCAGTCTGTTGTGCAGCTTTTCTGTTTTTCAAGGACTGCACAGGCTTTTGCTAATTAACACCCTAGCTCCTAGTGCAAGAGGTAAAAAGTTTTCCCCCCATTTTACACATAGCAGAACTGGATCAAAGTTACTATCTACAAATCTGTGGCCACCAGGCTGTAGTGCCTTCTATAGGTTTGTCACTCTGTTGTTTCCCTTGATGTTAAGAAAAGAGTATGTCACAAGCACATACAGCACATCTTCTAACATTATATCCTGCTCACTTGTTTCCGAAAAGAATGTGTAAGATTGTGTGGAACAATGCCGTTTGGTGACTCCTGCACAGCAATACACGTCATGGCAGGGTGCACTTTATCTTTCAGTTTTGACATCATCAGCTTCCACTTTTGATATCTCCCTGTGCCCTGACATTCGTACCTCAGAGGATGATCTTTTCTTGTTTGTGCCTTTATTAGGAATTGGCACAGCTCTAGGCTGCTGATTACCTGACATGAAGAGCAATACATACTAGGACAGTCCTAAATGTTGAGTGTAAACTCCTTGCAGGCCTAAAAGTCTGCGTCCCAGACTCTGCTATAAAAACCCAACTCTGGGGGTGAGTAAGGGTAAAAGCTTGGCTCTACTGAATTAAATAGGAATTTTGACATTGACTTCAGAGTTTTCCCTGAGGTACATAACCATTTTAATGGAAAGACAGTGAAAAGACAAATACAGCAGTGGAAACAATACCTGGAGATCAGGACCTTCAAGCATTATAGAACTCTGCTCATCAAATTTAAAAACCGACAGGGTCCAGCTTCCTTCTGTGCTGTACCCTGATCCTGCAAACATTGATGCAACTTGCTAAGAAACAATCATGGGAAAAGTCCTGTTGAGCTCCCTGGGATCACAGACATTCTTGAAATCAAGCATGTGCATGTTGTTAGATTGGGGCTGTAGTCATTAACTTCTTTATGAAATTCAAAATAGAACTGCCAGCAAATCCATTGGCTGTTATTGACTCTAGCCATTTACCAATTACCTCATTAAGAGATATATATATATACACACATATATATATACACACACATATATGTGTGTGTGTGTGTGTGTGTGTGTGTGTGTGTGTGTGTGTGTAGGTATATAAATACACACACACACACACACACACATATATTGTACTGTGGCTTTGTTTCTAACCTTCATTACTTTATGAAGCATATGGTGTTTCTTTTTGCTTTGTCACTTTCTCTGTCCATCCGATGTTTTTCTTTGAAGAAGCTTTTGAGTTTTTCATAGGCCATGTAAACTCTGGCTAAATCTCCTGAGAAACACATAAATGGTTGGTTAATATCACTTCTGCTGCAATCAATTTCTGCTCCACCCCCTCCTTCACTTGGGTTTCTTTTTGTTTAAGTGATTGTAGCATTTTTAACAGATTCCAAGAAGTTGCTAATACCATTTATGAGCTATAGCTTGCAAACTGTTTCAGTGGAGTGTATTGCAGATGAATTATCACAAGCCACGTCCTGTCTTTTTGAAAGCACAATGAGAGGTAGAACGATGAACCTTTCCCTTATGAGTCAGGAAAGGGAACCATGCTCCATATCTCTCTTTTCTATGCATTTTGTAGTAATGCCTTGCAGTGGGATGTTAGATATCCAATTGCAAGCTTCAATGCTTGGCAAGGAGCCAAGAATGAGGAAAAATGAAACTGGGACAAGGCCAAGTTGGAGAGGACCCAAAAGCAGAGGTCAGGCTTGTTGGGGAGAGAGAATAGGCACAGGGCCCTGTCCAGATCCTGGGATAGATCCATGAGCCTCTCCCCACTCTTCTGCTGTCAGGAAATTTCTGTGAGCCTTTCTTGTAAAGTGTGCCCCCCTCCCCTTCCCCTCTCTCTCTAGACTGGTGGACAGAGAGGTGGGCCAACCCATTGTTGCGGTCAGTTCCCGAGTCAACGCAGATGGCAGAACTCTTCCTAAGTTCTACCAAGTGCCATTTATTGCCCCCTTTTGTCCTGGCCATGCACTGCTGCTTGATCCTTATTTGCTGCCTTCCGTTTCTTGCTGAATGCAGAGGGGCTTAGAGACAAAGATTTCTCTTTCTTGAATGTGGAGTCATGGCTCTTTGGCCAGGTGATGAACTATTCCCCTAGGATTCTCCACTTCCATTTGTATTTTTTTGTAATATTTTCCTCCTATCAGTTGTATTCCTCATTAGCTTTACCTTGGGGTGATGTCATGGGCATATAATTACAGGTTTAATCTTGCCTCTGTCTGGCGATATGGAATGCAATTGGATCACAATCACCTTGCGCTAAGCAACCACATGGCCATTGTCTCCTAGCATCAAACGCTCTGCCCCATGATTGGCTATGTCTGTCTCATTTGAATAGAAGCCATATCCTTCCTCCCAGTAGTGGTGGAGTATTGTTGTAGCCATGATGGTCTGGGCAATATGCAAGGATCAAAGTGATTTTAGGGACATCTTTTCTTGGACGAACTGTATAGGTGGGAAAGAATTCCCCACTTCAATTTCTATTTTTTCTGTCATGTTTTTCT